TTTACTTAGTTTAATAATATTATTCGTTTAAATCGCCAGGGTTTAATAATCATCAGGGCTTTAAAGCAAATTTGTAAGATTTTTGCTTGTAACTTTTAGTTTACTAGTTCAATTATCGATGAGTGCTCAGCTTACAGGCTGGCCAGCTCTCGACGTTCCGCCACCAAACGTGACCGAATATACCGCACTTGTAAATATGAGTAAGGTTCCAAACGCACCCAAGAAGACAATGGCTGATATAAATGGAAATGTATGTCCAGCTACAGATACTTATTGTTATTGGCCTTGTAACGGTTGCGTTCGCAATGACTCGGATGTTGTTATGTGTCCAAGCGTAGGTGGTAAGTAAGAAGAAATTTATTGTTTCATATTAAATATATTAAATGTCAATTTAATTTTATTTATTTGAATTATTTGATTAAATTATATAAATTTCTATAATTTAACCTTTAGATTGGGGACTTAGCTTTGATGATGGTCCGACGTAAATATCAAATATATCATACAAATATGGTTAAAATTAGGTTTAAATAGCATACACTAATTTATAAAATAATTTCATTTTCATCAGTACGTTTACAACAGCTTTACTTGACTATCTCGATACGGTAAAAGTCAAAATTACTTTCTTCATTGTTGGTTCTCGAGTAGTCGAAAATCCTGAAATTTTGCAGAGGATTGTTAGTTCTGGTAAAAAATCTCATCTAAATGTCTAACTTTTAATATCATTTAATATATTTAACTTATCTAACATTTATAATAAATTTGCAAAGGTCACCAAATCGGTGTACATACATGGTCACATCCATATCTCACTACTCAGTCTAACGAACAGGTTATTGCAGAGTTACAGTGGACTGCTAAAATAATAAAAAATGTAACTGGTGTCACACCTCTATATATGCGTCCACCATTCGGTGATTATGATGATCGTATACGGAGTATATGTACACAACTTGGATATAAAGTTGTAATTTGGGATAAAGATACAAATGATTGGCTTTCAGCTGATGACCGAACTTTTCAAATGTCATGGGTTGAAGGTAATTTTACCCAATGGGTAGGCGAGAAGAGTACTACTGGTCATATTAGGAAGCACATTTAAGTGAAGTTTAAGCAAAGACATTACATTTGATAGACTTAATTGACTAATAAATCGGTTCTTTTTAATAAATTTCCGATTTCTTGGACAGAGGTATTATCCTTGATCATCATTGTACATATTTTTACTTAGTTTAATAATATTATTCGTTTAAATCGCCAGGGTTTAATAATCATCAGGGCTTTAAAGCAAATTTGTAA